AACACAACGTGGTGCGATCATCCCCCTTGCGCGGAGTGAGGGTTCTCCACCCCGCACAACATGATCTACTCGACCACCATTCATGGTTACCGCCAAAAAAAAACCGGAGGTAAAAAAAAAAAAAGTTACCTGGTTGCCGAGCGAAGTGAATTGGCTTGTTTTACAACGTCGTTGCCAAGCGACGAAAACCCAACCCCGATGGCAAACACCGGGGGGGTCGGCTTTTTCTACAACGTCGTTGCCAAGCGACGAAAAACCAACCCCGATGGGAAACACCGGGGGGGGGGGCGGCGGCTTGTATTACAACGTCGTTGCCAAGCGACGAAAAACCAACCCCGATGGGAAACACCGGGGGGGGGGGGGGCGGCTTGTATTACAACGTCGTTGCCAAGCGACGAAAAACCAACCCCGATGGCAAACACCGGAGAGAGATATCCGCGGGGGGCGGAGAGAAAAAACAGCTTGGGCAATGGGTTAAGAGGTAGTGCTTGATGCGCCCGCAAATGTGAGGGTTTCGAATGTATGTGTTTTGGTATTGAATTGGTTTTTGTTTTGTTTTGGCTTTAGCTTTCAGGGTTTGCGAATTAATATTTTTTTTGTTTTGGTATTGGATTGGAGGATTTTTGAATGAAACTTGTTTTGGTTCTGGGTTTTGGATTTTGTGTTGGCCTTTTAACTATAGAATTTGCGAACGTTGTTGTGGCAGTGGAATTGGTCTGGTTTTGGTGGTACGTTGGCGTTGGGGTTTGCAGGAGCATTGCCATTCGTGAGTTTTTCCGACTGGATGAATTTCGAATGTTGCTCCTTTGGTCTGTGGTTGGGACTCCAACCGCTCCTAAAAGTAGGGGGGTGGATCTCGAAGACCATAGGGGTACGATATTTCAGCACGAGTTGGTACCGTCGCTGAGGTTTGGTCGAAGCGATTGTTTGATGCCTTGAGGTGTGCGACGGACGGGAGTATTTCCGAGTGCCGTTACGGTGAAGTGCTAAGGAATGATGGGCCAGAAGAAGTAAGAGCGTTTTGCAGAGAAGAAACAAGGCGATGAGAAGACGCTTTGGTTCGGGAATACATGAATTCTTGACGGTTAGGTTGCTTGTATTGTCGTAGACAGAACAGGAACCACTTTTGAATGTGTGTAGGGTGGACTTACATCTACTTGCCGTATCATTACGATGCTACGAGCAGGGGGGGGGTGCTACATATACTCGTAGCGTGGTGGAATATGGGGCACGGTTCTGCGGAGATTCTAGTTGGTAGATTGCGGGAGAACAGGGAGTTTCTACTAGGTTTCTGGAGAGATTTGATTACAATAGTGATTGGGATTTCGTGACGGATAGATGTGGCTATGCACTCCTCTCTAGTGGTGGGGATCCGGTTTCCACTCCCCTCTAATACAAGACGTTCCCATCTCGGCCCTCACGGGCCGAGATGCCTTCCTCCACGAACGTCAAAGCTTCGGGCTACAGCAGCACCCGCGGGTTACCCAACATGAGTGGCAGTCAATTTTTCTGGCGGCTTCATGGCTTTCATTTACCCCCCGCCTGTTGCAGAAGATGGCGGTATCGTGTTCCCAACCGTCTTTTTCTTGTTGCAGAAGATGGTGGTATCGTGTTCCGAATGTACCACCTCCGGATGAGGCCCGTCTTGCGGCACCCTACAGTAGTGCCCGCACTAAAGAACTTAGCAGTTAAGAAATTGAGACTCGCAAAAAATCACAAGCTAAGAACTTGAGCACCATTTGTGAGCTCGGTGAAGAACCCCACACAAAAACCTATAGCGCGGCCATTTGTAGGCCACAAGAGGATGATCAGCAAAATAAGAACCCCAGGCTCGGCCGAAACTAGAGGTTCTTAAGTGCGGGCGCCATCTGTAGTAGAGGGAGGTATGTTCTCTTCTTCGGAATCTCAGATTCGGAGGTTTGGAGAGGGAGGTCAATCACAGCGCCAAAACGCAACCCGGTCACCCTTGGGTTCGGCAAATACTCCAAAGTATTCTGTCAAAAGTATGTTTTCGAGTGTGTGCCGGGCCCCGGTGACGCCATTGTTGTGTTATGGCGGTGCTATCGATTCCCCTCCGAGATCACGAAGGACAACATGTGTAGACTATACAGGTGAATGTCCAGTTGTCACCGTTTCAACATATGCTGAGACTAGATGCAAGCCCAACGCGAGAGAAGGAACTATGTTAGATGCGAGAGGGGAGAGGGTGAACAGGGCTGAGTAGCTGAGTGCAAAGGTGCGGTGGTGTGTGAAGGTGAAGGATGTAGGCAGGTACTTGCGTGTGTGCGGAGAAAAAGCTGCCGTGTCGGGATGGCCCTTGTGGATGCCGTGTCGTCCTCTGTGAGAACGGAACAGACAGTAGTTTGGGCAGCTAAGGATGTCCGCCGAACCGAACGATGAAACCGCGAGTCTGCCCCGAATCAACAATAGCACGCAACACTGCTGCCGCAACGAACGGACACCCTCCTAAACAGACCTTGCCGTGGTGAAAACCCATATGCGTCGCGTCGGGTCCTCAACGTTGTAGTTGGGACACTTGGTCGGTGCCTCCTTGCTCAACGACTCATCGTCGACCTTGCCGCTCTCCGCCATAAAGGCGCCTGCACCTCTGGGGAGAAACATGACTGCAACCAGGCAACACGCACCACAGTAGGTGCGGCGTCTACCGCTCTCCGCTTCTCTCTGTTTGGCTCTCTGCTGCAGCCCGCCTGCTGTTGTTTTTGTCGGAAGTCCCATAGCCTGTAGCATGAAAAATAATTCCGAGCCACCAAGGGTACACCCTCCCGGCTACATAACGAAACAATATTGGCCGGTTCGCGGACCCCCCGTGTCTGCAGTAGGGCCAACGACAGGCGAGGATTGCAGGGTGTGGTGTGCTAAGCAGCAGTGGTGGCAGCACCAGAAGCGGCAGCAGTAGTCTGTCGCAGCTGCTGCCGCGAATGTTGCTGCAGATAGCTCGACTTTCAAATCATTCTCGATCATCCAGAGGGCAGAAGCCTGTACACAGGCCCGCGGAACAAACCCGGGTATATACTCTCCCTTCTTCCCCTCGCTCCTCGACAAGCTTTTGCTTAGACATGGGTTGTAGCGAAGGGGGGGGTCTTTCTGGCGAGCAGGGCTAGACTCACCCTCAAGGGATGACCGAAACCTTCTTGCTGCTGCGCATCCGCCGCGAGGCGTGCGTGTGGTGGTGGAGTTGGGTCGGCACTGATGGGGTCAGGCGGGAAAATGTAGATGCGCGGGCCTTTCTGGCCGTCGGCGTTGGCAGTGATGCCCATCTCATTTTTGTGCGCGGAGGCAGACATCATCAGAAAGGTGGACGGGCACTACACGGCCCTAGGTTTGCTAGAGGGAGCTGTATTGCCTCAGTATCCTGGCTTCGCCATCAACGGAGGAGGGAGCAGGTGGCGACGAGCTGAACTAGGCTGGTTGACCATTCGGCGCGAGAATTTTTATTTTTTTCAGACCAAGAACCTTGAGTGCAATGAGGGAGAAAGCGGGGAACGGACTGGGAAGGACAGCAACGAGAGCGTGTACGGACGGAGCAGGTCGAGTGACGTTTTGCTCGGGCTGACTACAGCGGCGCCGGACGGAGCAGCGGCACCGGAGCATGCGGGCGACATCGACCCGTGGCGCACGGACAAACATTTCTATCTGTGTTGTCAATTTTTTTCGTTTTTTTTCTGACTTCACGTGTTGGTTTTGTGTGATGACGTCGTCACCGGTTGTAGAGAGACCCGCCAGAGATGGCGTGGCTAACCCGGGTGCATTGGTT